GATAAACGACCACTGTTAGCGAAACCTTTTTTTATCATGTTCAATCTAGCCAGAAATCACCAGTGTGTCCGCAGGAAACCGGAATATTGACGACGCCAAGCGGATTAGATGAGCTTTGGCACGTAGACTCCCACAGTCTTACATAGAAAAATTTGTCTCATCTCTTAAGAAACGAATTGAAAGCAGTTTTTTCAGTAAAAGATGAATAAACGCAGTTATGATGCTTTTTTGAATTGTTCTTCTTTGTTGTACGTATTCGATGAGGCTTAATACCTATAATACGATTGTGACCTCGGAAAACGATCTGATATGGGCTGAATTGTTCTAGAAGCTGAGACTTTGCTGCTTGAATGCTATCACAGGGGGACCACATTTTTCAGCATTATAAAACAAGGAAAACAAAACATAAGCAGCGAACAGCTTGACGCGTTTATCACAAAGCCAGGTGAATACGCTAAACGAAGTTACATTGAACATTGTTGAGTAATGCTATTTCACGACGTCGAAATCTCTGAAAATGCGTGGTGATGATTGAATTAATGACCTCCCGTAGATCTCTGTCCGTCAGGCAATATTAACAAATCTGGATCTGGTGGATGCGTTGCCTTCCAGGCATCAACGTAGACTGTCGTGAAGAGGATGGGAGTTATTCAAGACGTTATTTCCTACTTTCAAAACATGCGTGACTATTGACTCAGCGTCACGTTAGCCAGAATCGTTGTATGGAAGGCCACAGAGCTTTGAGACAAGTCTCACTGACCTCCTTGTTGCTTTACGCTAGCAGACCAACAGTACTGGAAGAATGATTGCGACGGCGTATGTGTAAAATGAACTCTGCGATTAAGGACGAACCTTTTAATGCATTCGCTTGTAGAATACAACCTCCTAAGTCTTTTAGCATAAAATGACGCTTTGCAGCATCGAGTTACAACAGTTTCAACATGATGGAGTCACATCAAACAATAACTCATGAATATTTCATGTTCGGGCTTCGAACACTGCGTGGCTGCAAAAGGTAATGATCTGCCTCTAGAGATTGAGAAGCTTCTAGTTTCCGATGTTGCGCATAGCGCAAAGCAATTCTCTTGTTTAACTTGAGTTGAAAAGGAGCTCATTATTACGCAGAGGTAAGGGCATGCGCTTACGATACCGTTTCTGTAAGCATTCTGATCATAAGGCGACTGCAGAGAACCGACAACAACAGCGTCGTCAGCATAATTAATGCATCTAAGTGAATCACTGATGAGGCAGTCATTCGTAAATATATTGAGCAGCAGGAATAGAAAGACTGAACCTTCAACAACGCCTAAGTTGTATCCGATAAGACCAGGCTTTTTGACCAATTTTCACAAACTGTAATGGGTAAAGCAACTGGCCAATCATCGAGTATTGGCTGGATCGATCGCGAGTTCGTACAATTTACCGAAGATTTTCTTCAAGAATCTGCCTTGAAACCAGATGACAAGACCAAAGATTCGCCCCCAGAAAGCGACAATCTCTGTCCAGCTTGATCACAATTCGATTTGCGTGACAGGTCATAGCGTCATTGGCAGCAGAACCTTAGCGATACGTGAGCTGTCATGAATCAATGATGATGGCCAAGTTAATCTCTGATGCTTGCGGGATGAGGGTTTCTAAACCCTTCGGAGGACTCCACGGAACATTATCCGGGTCATTTGTCGATGAAGTTTTATTTGGGCACCGGTGTGATTGAAGCAAAACGCCAGTCACTGTGAACCTGAGAGTAGTCAAAAAAACAATCATAAACAAGCATTTGTGTACTGCACAGTTCGTTCGAACAAAGTTTGGATTAGCGAGATGCTTCATCGAAGATGTGTGAGATAGGCGCGGAGTTTCTTCTTTATGATTTGATCAGAGTCTAATGGTTTGTATAGCAGTAACAGACAGAATTCGTCAGCTACTGAGCAGCGTTCAGTCGGCAAGAAGTTTCAATTAAGCGTGCATGGATTCGGCAAGTTCTTGGATCCCGTTTACTCTGTTTTGCACAAGGACTGATGTTCCGCCATGGGGTTCCTAGATCACTTTCAGGTGACTTACATATAGTACGTTCAACCGTTTGACTTTTCCCCGGAATTTTTTTCGGAGATGGTGCGACAGACATACGGTCACCAAACCTGTATACTCTTTCTTGTTGACGGTAAAGATGCTGAAGTGCGATTGACGTTACTCGGTGTTTTACGAAGCAATCAAATGCGGTAGATCTTCGTTGAATTACGAGCATGAGGATGCATCGATTCTCGGGCAACACAGTCTCCATATGGAATTTTGAGCATCATTGCGCTAATTTTTTCTGCTGTTTCTTTGTATATTAATTTGCACATTACCTTTTGGTTTTTCATGCGTTTTAGCTATGCAAACTAACTATGGTCTAATCGACCCACGATGTCACAGTACTTCAAATGAAGCAGGCTTAAAATGGATGTATATTAGTTGTTATTTGATCGTATTATTGATAGTCAAGATGTTCAATATAAAAATTACCGAACGATGTTGGAAACAGTTTACCACGTGAATCGCCTTTTGCTATGCTTGAGAGTATTTAAGAGAGTTGAAAGATTCAGTTTTGTTATACGTAGCGTGTTATTTGTTTCTTGTAAGTACTTTAATTATTTTCTTCGTTCGCCAAACCCAATCCACTTTTGTCTTCACTGGTTCTTGACTCAGGGCATAGGAAAACTGTCTTTATTGTAACTGCAAGGCTTCGGGGTAAACCGTCGAATAAATTATTTCAAATCATAGCGCGTTGTGGTGGTTGTTTGTTGAAATAAAGATTACTGTTATGTTAGTGAAATAAAGATTACTGTTATTTGATTAAAATTTAACAGTTACAATAGAGATTACGCTCTTTTCGTTGAGTCTTGAATTATTGAAGGAACATTTTATTTTTTTGCAACTGCATAGTGATAATGCATAGTTGATTTTTTTGACGTGTCACTGGTTTATAGCAGCATTCTTGTTTTGATGATACATTATCTTGCCTGTGCGTCAACAGCAGGGTTACTAGTTATTATAATTGTAGTCAGTACCGCTTGTAACACTGTGTACTTCAAATAACGCCTGTAATTCAAAGAATGAAGAAACGGAATGCGAAACTACTTGTTTGCCGCTGGATATTGGTTTTCTCTACGTTTCTCTGATTTGGTTTATGACATGAAATTTGTCTTCGCTTGCGTTTTGTCCAAAAAATCTTTTTCATGGAGATGATAATTTTGTGATAAACATCGAGTGTGGTCCTTGTGCCTCGTTTCCATACAAGGAATGCGTATATAAATTTGGACCCATCATCTTTCTATTACCAGTTTGACTTTCAGGCAGCAGATTTAACACTGAACCATATCTGGTCTTTTATATCTGTTTGAAACACTCTCCTGTTCTAAATATACCTAGCGTGGGCCACAAGCGTTGCAGTCAAAGATCATCCTTCGCAGGAAAGCCGGACAAGGAATATACCTCAAATTTTTTTCGGTATCAAACAGACATCTTATAACGTGCTGCTTAGTCGTCTCGCAACGCTGTTTTGTTTTTCAACATATTTTTCCTGTCTTCTATTTCTTCAGCTAATCACGTTTGATCATACTGATTCTTTGCATGGTTAAAGTAAATCTATAAGGGAAATTGTGGTCGTTGAAAGTGGCTCTTTTTTGTCGTGGAAAGTTATTTTTTTTTATATACAAATCCCTGTAAAAGGTGCTCATTTGTGATTATCCCACTACATCGGAATTTTATCTCTGGGCAGTTATTTAATTCTAAATTTCTCTCTCGCTCGGATTTTGTTGCTTTGAGAAGATAATAAATTCTCAACATAGGTTTAATTTTGAAGTTCTATGCGGCTAAGTGCTGTTCGAAATCTCTGGCAAAAGTTCCGTTTCCGGGGTTACGAAGTACCACCTCAGGCTCCCAAGCAGGAACTTTCGACCCTGCCTTTACGAAGTGCTGTTCTAGGAGCGTTTTTTATCACGTGTTTCTTTGCATATCAAAATGCCTGCCACACAAGACACGTTGCAAGCCGTAAAGCAAAGCGAAATTGAAGCTAATCTCCGGACGCCTGATGCTTGCACAAAGGTTAGTATTAATTGGTACAAACATTTCTTTTTACTGTTTTTACTCCAAATTTTGATGGTCCATATTTATTTACTCCAACAAAAACTTAATCTATCTTTTTTAGACCTTCTACCTGCAGCAAGTGAATTACAGGGTTAAAGATCCGAGGAAATCGTTGGAATTTTATACCGGAGTGCTGGGCATGAAGTAATAACTTTATATCCTTTGCTATGAAAATTTTTTGCTGTTTAAAAATAGTATAATAATAGCTTAATGCATGCTTTAAGACCGTCCCAGTGAATTTATGAAAGACGAAGCTTTTCAAAGAAAATGAAACTTTGTAATGGTATTAATGTCTGGCATTAGTTTAACTTTCGTAATGGGTCAGCTTACGCGCCCTTGTTATCACGAAGTCGTTGGGGAGGGGCGCTTATTTTCATTTCGATGTCATCAGCTGTGAGTTGTCTATTTTAAAGGCAGAATCTACGGCAGTTAAGTAACAAGCGTGTCTGTTTTCATACAATAGTATGGTGTTCTTCTAGGAGAAGAAAGAGAGGCTAGTATCCTGACAGAGGCCCTTTCGGTTTAATGCTCTACCAACTGAGCACCGTCGGACCATATCCATATCGCAATGATACACCTAGCAAAGGGCGAATACCTGACGAACACTAAGGTACGTTATTTGTCGGAATGTGGAAATGAAGGAAGTGCCACAGAAGATTAGTGGGTTTATTCAAAGCATTTCCGACAGAGGTATGACAGTAGCTGTTCGTAAACATAAAATGAAAGAATTCTCTTTTCGGTAGGGGGTGCGGGTAACTTTCCTGTTAAGGATACTAACGAGTTCAGAAATGTATCATTTAACAAGGCATTCAGTAACTAAAGACGGTTGAAGACGCTAAAGGTTGTGCATACTTTGTGTTATATATTTGATGCAGATGCTGCATTGCTCCGATAACAATCTTCTTTTCTGAAACGTTTTGTTATCCGCCTTTTTCTTCTTCTCAGTCTTCTACTTCATTTTTTACTCATTCGCCTCTTTTCTTTCTTCTTACGAACATCGATTTATTAGCCTGTAGCAAGAAGGATCGCGTTCACCTTTACTCAGTCCTGTTCTTTTCTAAATGCGGTCATACTGAAGAACTGCCTTCAGAAACTGCTATCATTCTACCCTTTAAGTCTATATATTTAATTTCACCACGCCTATGCGATTTGACTTATTAAATGCCTAAGGAAATTTTTTAGCGTGTCACTGTAGTATACGAAATATACATTGCCAGCTTACGATAGAATTTGTATGCTTGTTCGATCTGGATGGACGTTGTTAAACCATTGGTTATTGTTATTGTGCAGTGATGTGATCTTGTGCAACTCAGCTGTATTTATCAGTAAGAATTTTCAATTGCTTTTTTAAAGACAAAGGGCATATCTTAAGTTGAAATAGCAGACTGCTCAAGCTAAATTATTTTAGCAATATCATATTACTTGGAAGTTGCACAGAGTAGTCGTACCGTACCGTTACTTGTAGTTACTAAGGAATCGTGTAAACAGGCCACGGCTCCATGGAGTTATGACACCTGCAGTGGATGGTTGCAAAACCCCATCACCCTGCTGGGCTGAATAACAGCGTTTTCGCAGACTAGCTATGAATAACCATGCTAAGTTTCTTTCAGTCCAAAATCGTGTCGGATTTTCTTTTGTTTGGTTTAACTGTTTTGCCTCTTGATGTGTTTTTTGTTTAGACTGCTTCACCGAATCGATTTTCCGTCGATGAAATTTACGGCATACTTTGTTGGGTATGATGATGGCTCAAAGAAACCTGACGATCCGAAGGAGCAGGTGGCTTGGGTTCTCTCACGCAAGGCGACGCTGGAGTTGACCCAGTAAGCCATGCCGGCTGTGAATGCATTCACAGTACTTATGTTGCACTGCTTATAGCAACTGGGGCACGGAAAACGAACCAGATCAACACTATCACAATGGAAATACAGAACCCCGTGGTTTCGGTAAGGGAATAACGTTGTTTTAGATTATTATAAACGGTATTATATAACGAGTTGATGCAGAATCAGCTTTGTCGGTTAAAATTTTACTTCGTTAAAACGATTTAGAGCTGACGCATTCGTATGGTGTACACAGAAAATAAGAGTACGCTATTTTGCTGTTCGACGAAGCGGTCTGCTTTCATCGCCTGATCACAGATCATAAACGTGAACAAAATTAATCTGCCGGAACACTGCATAACCAATATGAATTAGAATTTCCTGTCCTCTTACTATCTAAGTCAGACGGCCGTTAGTAAATTGTCAGACCCGTAGGCAAAACTTCATTGGTTTAGATGCCAGCAGGACCGCTCTTTACTTTTTTTGACAGAAAAATGAGTGCACCACAACCCCTAAATGAGACGACATGTGATTGTTATTTATCTTCAGATATTGTCGTCAGAAAGCAACCTTCCTGTTCGATGGGTTTGGAATGAACAGGAGCACTGCACCATCACCGGTGAAATATCGTTAATCATGGCAACCTAAACGAAACTGTCTTCCAGTTGATTACAAGCTCATCAAGAATAATGTAGTTGTATTGAATTGTAATGAATTCACTGGTTCGGTATTGGCGTCGTCGAAGTAGAAAATTATCGCTGTTCGTATATTGGCCTACCATTAAAAAACGGGATATACAGCTAAGTGGATTAGCTATTCTTGTTAGCGACAGGGCATTGAATATCATGATAAACAGGACAACAAAATGATGGCCAAGTTCTGGATGAAATAGGAAATACTTCGAGTAACAGTACTAGGCTGTCATGGTCGACGGGAAGTGGCTCTAAAAGAGGATACAAAAATTTTGCTTCACCTTGGATCTGGTGTTACGAAATTGCAGACAATGCAATATGATTATGTTCTGGATGATTTAAACGCCTAGCTTGATGCAGGTTGATCATCGTACAAATGCATCGACCAGCATGACAGTCCACATCAATGGTAACGGTCATTAGCCAGAAAATTTAATGAGACACTGAATGACCGTTCGCGAAGATTTAATCACATGCGGATTCACAAAACTGTCTAAGTCATGCCAGACAACCAGGGTTGTCGTCAGATCGACGATGTTCTAATCAGAAAGAAAAACGCGGTCTATTTGCAGGATGTTAAAGTGTTCAGGGGTACAGTAGCCATAAACTGATTATAGCTAAATTTAGGAATAAACTTCGAGCAAACGTGCCCTGTCAAACATTCTATGAAAAAATGTCATTCCGCCATGACAGATGCTTCCTGTGGAAGAAAAGATTTAGAATAACATTCAACTCAAAATCATAACCTTACCGAGAAATGCTTATTAGTATTAGCTGTACGGTACGAACAATCAAATACGCCTAAGGCAAATATAATAATCGAATAATAATAAAAACGGAGTAATAATGCAAATTCACAAATGCCGTTTTATTTAAATGAATATATTTGCAGGTCATATTGGAATTGGCGTCCCTGATGTATACGAAGCGTTCGAAAGGTTCAAAAAGTTGAACGTGCCAATCAAAAAGGAGCCCGACGGTGGTTCGATCAAGGGTATAATGTTCATCGCTGATCCGGACGATTACAGAATAGAAATCTTCCAACCGAAGACATTCGACACTACACTGTGCTTGCCACAACAGTAATTGCCGTTGAATATTTGCGTAAGCCCAATATGCTTAAAAAATGTTAAGATATCCTAAACTGCCTTCTAATTTTTGTCCTCTGTATGAGATACGTTATAATTTGTTAGTTATGCCTTTGACAGATTTTGATATAGTTTGCTAGTAGCTTTTCATGATTTTTCCCTTAAAATAGTTTTTGAATAAAATAGAATGACTTACTTGTTTCACTACCAAGCATGATAGAATCGCTCTCAGTTATTATTGTTTATCTAGTGCATCTTACAACCTATGAATAAATTTCCATCGTCTGATAATCAGAAAATGTAGGATAAGATCCCTTCCGAAATACAACAGCGAGTATACGACTGGGATATTAGATGAAAAGTAACTTGATGATGCAAAAGTAACTAGATGATGCATGCATACTATAGGCAATGGAGCCAGAAGTTTCACCGATCTGGTGACTCTTTGTAACAGCAGAGTAAGTTCTTTATAGAAGCGGCAGAAGACATGGCTGTGATTGATTCTGCTAAATGAAACATTTCATACAGAAAAACCACCTTGCAGTGTCAAATAAGATAAGATGCAGAATGGAATTTAATGTTATAAACTTTGCGTTTTAAAAAGATACTGTCGCCGCAGCAGTTGGCGACAATCATGAATTGTATTTCGAATTTGTAAAAGGTAAACTGAAGCTGACCGTCCCACTTTGACCCCGCTTTCTTAAAACTAGAGGAAATTTATGTTAAGTAGCTCTTTAGAAAATGGAAGCACTGTTGGAAGTGTCGTATGAAAATACCCAGTTTAAAGAAATATTGTCTCCTTAAACAAGTTTAAGAAAGCATTATCGTCAAACAAAATTCTATTCGACTATTTCCTAACAAAATAGGAAGTTGCAACAGTGGTCTCTGTATGACCAATGCAAAAGAAAATTAACATTTTTAGCTCAGGAAAGCAAAAGTTATAACCGTTGGAATGCCGGTCCAGCATACAGTTTCATGATAGGTCCAATTCTGGCTTCGTTTTCATTAAATTAGTGGTAGGGCGGTGGTCTCCATTTCCATGTCAGGACCATCCTAATTTACAGGACAGAATGGACAACCTTTACATTAAGGAAGCATAATGTGTAGTCTTCAGTTACCTTTCTTAATGAGTATTACTCATTTATAAAACCCTGAAGGAAATAAATGAGTGACCAGGACAGAACTCTCGGTTGTGAGTATGAAGCTTCTCCAATTGAACAAGCTCCATTTGTCCACAGCACGAAGGAAAACGGTTAGAAAGTTAAGTCATGGAGCGGTTTTTAAAACACAACCAGAACCAGCTGTGATTTGGTGTCGCAGGATGGATGTACACGAAAATATGCTAAAGAAACAAACGGTCATAAATCTGAAAAATGATATTTCGAGTTATGCGAAATTTTGGGAACAGTACCTGTTCCTTTTTCCACAACTTATAATTGACAAATTTACATTCATGGTATTAGTTCCACAACATGAATCGAAGTCTGGCGAAAAAAATTTATTTTTAATCACTTAACAATCGGTTTTAAAGTTCAATTAGAGAAGTACCAAATATCTGACTTGCCGTTTTCCAAAACTATTTAAGGAAGTTACTGGACATCTGCTTTCAGAAAATAAAGTAATAAATTAAATATATACGTTACAAAAGTCAACAAAATAATAATACAACGTATCACAATGCAAATGGATAAATAACAATAAATCAATCATCAAATAAAGTTCAAAAATTACCTAGTATAGTTTTAATCATCAAGTTCTTCACAGTTAATATTCTGAAAAAAATTCACTTCGACTGAATTCGCTGCCCAGTCAAATCAAAGAACGTATTTTCGTATCGAGGTAATTCATCGGGCCAAGCATCAAGAGGAAAGTTTAACGCCGACACGTCAGATTTCGGTATGAGCTCATCAGGTCCAAAGCTTCCCAAGTGGTCAGAAGGAATATTCACGTAAGCCGCACAACATTTTGACTTCTTAGTGGGAGCTGGAGTGCACACTTAAAAAATATTATTAAGCAATGCATATGCAAATATAATCTCAGCATAAATAAGAGCCACAAGAAATAATTAGAACAGTTTCTAAATGGCTCAGTGCTGTGCCTAACAATGTTCTGAACTAGACGATACACATTACACTACATAAAAGCATAAATTCAATTTAAAAAGCTGAAAAGAAAACTAGACCGTAGAAGAACTGTGCACTATGTTCGGAAGTTAGGCGAAACGACGTGCAATTTTAAGCCACATGTTATCACCTTATCCGGTTCTCTTGGCCTCACGAAGTAAGTAGCTAGGCGAAGAACCGCCTCGATGTCACTACTACAGGCTTACAGCCACGATCACCATTGTT